GTGTGCATCCATTTAACTACCAACTTAATTAAGATATAAACCACTTTCCTTACCGTAAAAGGCTTGTTTGTGCCCCTTTGAATCCAGTACTCATTCTCTTCTCTGCAGTCAGCCACCAATCTTATTTCCACTACTACATAATAGTATTTGCCTGCTTTAACATTTCAAAGAAGTGGAATCCAGTCAGTCAAAACGTTTTTTTTTTTTTTTTACTTTCAGTTTTTGAGATTCAGTCATGTAGATATGAGTAGTTTTTTTCTTTTTAGAGCTATAGTATACTCCATTGCGTGAATGTTCCACAATTTGTCTTTTACCTTCTAATAGAAATGTGGGTTATTTTCAATTTTGGATTTGTTTATTTGTTGTGGTACAGAGAAGATCAAACCTGCCTTGCAAATGCTAGGCAAGTGTTCTGGCACTGGGCTACACCTGCAGCCAAATTTTTGAAATATTACGAATATAGCTACAGTGAAAAACCCAGCTACAATGATTTATGTGGATGTGTTTTCATGTTTCGCTTGGGAAATACCTAAATTACTGGGTTATGTAGTAAATGTACTGTTGAGAAACAGCTACATTGTCTCTTTTTATGACTTAATCAGCAACATGTGTGAATTCTAGTTGTCCTTGTCCTTGGCAAAACTTAGTGTTGTTACTCTTAATTTAGTTGTCTGGTGGGAATGTAGCCATTGACCTATAAGATTGAGAGATGTGTTTTAACTGCTTGTAGTTAGAGAAATGCATTCTTTCTCTTTCTCCCTCCATCCCTCCCTTCTTCCTTCCTTCCCTCCGTCCATCTGTCTGTTTCTCTCTGTGTCTCTGTCTCTGTCTCTCTCTCTCTCTTAATTAAGATATAAACCGGTACTGAGATAGAACCTAGGACCCTATGTATGGTGGGCAAATATTGTCCCACTGAGCTGTGCCTGCACTTGTTTTAAAACTTACTTTGAGACGGTCTTGCTGTCTAATCTACATTGGTGTTGAACTGGAGATCCTCCTGCCTCAGCTTCCGGAGAGCTGGAAGTACAGGCATGCACCACCATACTAGCCATTTTTTCTTTGTTTGATTTTTTTTTTTTTTTTTTTTTTTTTGAGGCAAGATTTTGCTAAGTGTAGCCCAGGTTACAGTCATCTGAATTTACAGTCCTCCCGTTTTAACCTTCTGGGTACATTGCCACCACACATCCTGGTGTATTATCTGTTTTTTAATGGGAAGCTTCTGAGGGACTAATTACCATTTGCTGTAATTACTTTCTTGCCTGTCACAGGAGGCCAACATACTGTTCTCCTTACTATGTAGAATGGCTCTTTGCTTTGGTGTATACAGTGATTGCTTTATTGTATTTCCATCCATATGTAGTTCATTCAGCTCCTTATTAAGCAATATATAAAGCCTCTGTATTTAGTAGAGCTTTTTCTCATGCTTCTAAGAGTATTTATATTAGTTTTGCAATTTCCTCAGCTGTCTGAATTTATTTAAAGCCACTCCCATTACTAGCCAAAAGCCTGTCCATTGGTACCAAATGGTTGGAGAGTTGTATTAAAATTGTCAAGTGGAGCTGGGGATATATAGCTCAGTGGCATAGGCCTGCCTAGCAAGCCCAGGTTGTTTTATTATAAAAAACTCAAAACGTGGAAAAGTTGAAAGAATTATACATTACTTAACATCTTGATTCTATAATTTTTAACTGTATTTGCTTATGTATCCACCAAACCTTTTCATAATATGTTGAAGTTGCTTTTTTTTTTTTCTGGAAAAAATATAGAATGATAGAGCCTACTGGATATGTGCTTTGTGAGGTATGTGGGGCTTGGTGGTGCTCTGATGCAGTGGTTTTAGGAAAGTTGGTGATTATTGTGATCCCTATTATTTGGTTGCAAGCTTAATCATTTACTTTTCAAATTCTGCATTGAAGATGTTACAAAGGCAAAAGGATTGGTGATTAGGGAGACCAAATACAATAGCTTTTTGTCCAGTGGATACAAGTACTATAAATAGCTATCATTTATTGAGTAGTTACCCTATTTTCAAGCTTAATTGCATTTTAGTTCTCACAGCCTATTAGCTATTGGTATTATTAGCCACATTTTATGTGAATTAGGCAAATGAGGTTTAGTGAGATTGATTCACGTAAGTTATTTGTTAAATGGCACAATTGGTATTCAAACTCCAATGTGTCTGGCTCCCAAGTGTGTCTGACTATGTACTTTGAGCTAGAATTCTGTACCACTGAAAATTTTCCCTTATTGCAGAATTTATATTTTGCATTTACTTACATCTTTATAATTGTACAGGTTTGGATACCACACCTAATTTGAGTAGTTTAGTAGCATTTGTGTGAAAAAAATATGTAAAAAATACAGTTGATAGCTAACATTTTTATGACTATGAAGTTGATTATCTACCTGCCTAATCTTATCTATTGTAGTGCTGGGGATTGAACCCAGGGCTTTAGCATTGGTCTACATCCCTATCCTTTGTTTTCTAATTTTGAGACAGAGTCTCTCTAACTAACTTGCCTAGACTGGTCTCTTTAATTTGGGATCCCCCTATTTTAACTTTCTAGACTGCTGGGATTATAGGCATTACTTCTTGAGAAGGGAAGGCCCTTTTCAAATCAGACATCCTGGGATTTTTACTGACCTCATTTCATTCTCTGAAGAATGAAGGCGTTTCCCTCTTTACATTAGTTGTGGGATATATAGTATTCCTTCTGTAGCTGAAACTGGTAAATACTAGCAAGTAGCAAGTATGTTTAAAATATGACGTAGGAAGTTCTTTCCTTTTTTTTTTTCTTTCTTTCTTTGTCTTTTTGAGACAGGGTCTCGCTGTGTAGTTCAGGCTGGCGTTGAGCTCACTTTATAGCCCAGGCCATCCTCAAACTCATGTGATTCTCCTGCCTCAGCCTCCTCAGTGCTGGTATTATAGATATGCGTCATCATGCCCAGCCCTATTTTCAGAGCAGTGGTTATTAATCTTTTTGGTACCAAAGTAACCCAGATTTAAATTTTTAAGAAAAATATTATGAACTGAAAAGTAAAAAATTGAACATCACTTTTTTCACAAATACGTATCTCATTAAATTAATTGAATTAACCAACAATCTATATCTAGGATATTTTATTCAGTCTTTAAGATGTCAGTTTCCCTCATTTAGTTAAAAAATTAACATGAATGTTTGTAAATAAGGTTCTTAGGCACAGATGAATTATCTGATGATTTATATTTTTCAGTTTATTTCTTCGCTAATCAGTGTATTTTCTTAGAACTGAGGCTGAAAAATTAGATGAAGTCTTTGCCAATTCATGACTTTAGGTTTCTGTTTCTTTAACAACAGTCTCTTCATACATTACATAGACTTGATCATGTTTCTTTGATCTCTGTTTTGATCTTGTCTGAATAAAAAGACCAAATTTTCATCAATGAAAGGGACTCCTGTTTTCTTTCTATAATACAGAGTTTTTGTATGAATGAAATTACTAGCCTGGTTTATTTGTGTGTTTGTCTGTAAATTAGACTTTGAAATGTCAAGAATGCTGAATTTACTGGCTAGATTGTTAAACACAAAATCGAGGAGGCTGGCTGAGAAATCTCTGCCCATTGATGTAAATGGAAGTTTCAGATACCAGACTCTGACAGAGACAATTCTGCTGACTGAAAAGTATGTAGAGAGCTTGTTACTAAAGTTAGGATCATTTTCAGGATGAAAAAACCCTAATGGTTTGGAATAGAACTGAAAAAGAATTTAACTTTAAAGGGTAGATAAGCTTTAAATAGTAAATGGATTAAGGGTCAGGTGTGTATTTCTCTTCGCTCTTGGGGTGGCCATGATAGGGAACCTTCAGGCCTGCTGCCCAGTGATTTTTGCTGAGACAGCAGGGGGAAAAAGCATTCTCAGAAGGTGGTTCAGTTTGCTGGGTGGATTTTGTGAGCCTCAGCATCTTGACAGAATTGCTGTTCTTTCAAACCTTGTACGTGTCCTTATTCCAGCCTTTTTTGTACGCAGTGAAACAGGGAGGAGAATGAGTATGTTGATTTACACCACCTTAAGTGTGTATTTTTAAGTTTGAATAGATTACATTGGACTTTAAATAAGATAGCAGAGAAAATCCAGAGAAATTAATTTGGTGATTGAGAGGACAAAGGAAGTTGGGTTTAGGTACTATAATTTTTTAGAGGTAATAAAGAAACCTTGTATGTATGAAAATTATTATTTAACTCCCAAGATAATAAAACTTGGTATAAAGGAAAATTTAGTTGACCAGCTGGAAGATAATGGGGTGAAATTAGGTTTTAAAATGTAAAGGAAGTATTTCAAGTCATCTTTTTTTGTCTCTATTTACAAGTTAAGGGGATGCATTTTGTGAAGTATTGTTTTTTTGTTTTGTAGTGCTAGGGATTAAACCCAGGGCCTTCATGCTGAGCTACATCTTGACCCTTTTTTTAGTTTTTTTATAGTCTCATTAAGTTGGTCAGACTAACTTGTGATCCTCCTCTCAGCTTTCTAGAATGCTGACTGAGATTACAGGCTTGAACCACTGAACCCAGTGTGAAGTTTCTTTTTAACAAAATTCCCAGGAGGTTTAAAAAGGATGAAGAGTCCATTTCAGATGACAAGATTGTCAAAAGCCACTTTGATTGCATTATATACGTGCTAAGTTAGGGTGAAGAAGTTGGACTATTTAGCTTAAAAAGCTTTGTGCCTTCTCAGCTTCTCTCTTTCCCATGTGCTTTCCTGAAACTGTGTGTTGGATTCTAATAAAGAGGAAGGGCAGGTCCTTTCTTTCACCTGTTTCCATTTTTTTCCCCCTGTGTTAAAGTTCACAAATAGTCTTTCATTTTAGAATCTATAAAGATATAAATAAATTTCATGGACCCAAATGAGTCTTTTGATTTTATGGTTCGTATTGTGTGACGCTGGTTGGGGGCAGGAGGGTGGAGATACAGTGTCTAGACCCTTATGGTTTATGGGATTGTCTTTTTCCCTTTTTCCCCTTAGGAACGGCGTGAATGTTGAGGGGGCGACACACAAGCAGGTGGTGGACCTGATCCGAGCAGGCGAGAAGGAGTTGATCTTGACAGTGTTATCTGTACCTCCTCATGAGGCAGATAACCTAGATCCCAGTGACGACTCGTTGGGACAGTCTTTTTATGATTACACAGAAAAGCAAGCAGTGCCCATATCGGTCCCCACATACAAACATGTGGAGCAGAATGGTGAAAAATTTGTGGTGAGTGTCAGCCCAACTCGATCATCAGGTATTTAGCTTTCATTTTCCCCAGTCTCATGGTTATGAATATAAAAGGCTGCTATGTAGGTCAGTTTATCTACAGGAAGGGTGATGGTACACAGAAATAAAAAACATTGACCTTGATTTGTCAGAGGGTGAACTATAGTATGATGATGAATCTGTTTTTGCTTGGGTACAGTTCTGTTTTACTTCCTGACAGTTTCAAGTTCATACATAAGAGTTTATTTTGCCTGCTTGCTTGTTCTTTTATTGGTTATCATATCTCTTTGCTCATAGTAGCCTCATTTATTTTGACTCTTTGGAGCTGTAAGACAAGATTAATTTTAAAAGGTGCTACCTTCCAAAATATTTGGGTAATACAGAGAGTTGTCCATTTTAGAATTGATGCCTTCTCCCCATTTTGTTCTTTTTCATTCCTTTGGCCATGTCTTTGTGTATGATTAACTCTTGGTTTTCCCCAAGTGTACTTTCAATGCAATTTCCATAAGGTTTTTACACATTACCAATTTGTTGCTATTGTACATGTGTAGGAAAATCCGTCTTAAATTCCTGAATGTTGTTGTTCAGAACCTAATTGTCAGTGATACATACACCAGTCTACTTTTCTGGTACTTGCAGTTTGCTTTATTTGCCTGTATTTTGGAAGTGTTAATATAATGAGAAATGTTATAGTCTACTATATTTTGTAGAAAATTTAGAAGGTTCCATTAGATACTGGCAAACAGACCTCATGTGTGTGTTTAAAGCTAACTACTACAAGGCAAGGTGGTGCATGCCTATGAGCCCCCGTACTCTAGGAAGTTAAGGCAGGAAAATCCCAAGTTAGAGCCCAGCCTGAGCAACTCAGTGACTTAGATCCTATCTCAGTAAAAAATTTTAAAAAGAATGAGGGATACAGCTCAATCAATGCAAAGGCTTTGTTGGGGGGTAGATAGAAGAAGTTGATCTATTAAAGTTGCGGTCTGTAAAACTTGGATTTGTCTCCTGTACAGGAATGAGCTTCTAAACATTTATGGCATTTTTTTTAAAGTGGAGTGATAACAGCAGTGAAGCTAGAAGAGTTGCAGAGATCAGTTATAGTTTGTCTAAGTTTAGCTGGAAATGATAACACGTAGGCTTTATGTTAGTGTAGTGTGTGTTCTTAGAACGAGACATAAAGTTTAAGGTTTTATGAATCAAAAGGGTTAACTTTGATGAGTAAAGCCGGTAAGTTCAAATTAGGGTCAGTTCCTAAACACAGAGCAGACATGGATATCTGGGAATTACCTAAGACCATGAGAACTTGTAGACCTGAGAAAAGGAATGAAACTATCAGTGCTTTTTTTAAAAAAACAATCTTACTGAATGTAACTTACCTTTGTTAACACTCTTCCAGTTAAGTATTCAGTTTTAGAGTTTTCGAAATTATACATAGTATGTATAATATATATACTATTTATGTTATAACTACTACCACTACTATCTTAGTATAGAACATTTTTTCATCCCCCCCAAATTCCCTCACACTTCCTTTTCAGTTAGTCTTCTCTTCTACTGTCTGGGTCAATCCACTCATCTAGTTTCTGTCACTATATTTTGCTTTTTGGGGGATGTCAAATAAATTACACAATATGTACTGTGCTATGTCTTCAGTTAGTATGGTCTTTTTAAGATTAACATATTCTTGCATATATTAATAGCTTGTTCATTTTTAACTGCTGAGAAATAGTCTACTAAATCATTCTTCTTTTCTTTTCTTTTTTGAGACAAGATCTCTGTATATCTTTTAGGCTGGTCACGACTTTACTGTGTAGCCCAGGCTGTCCTTGAACTCATGGCAGTCCTCCTGCCTCAGCTTCCTTAGTGAAGGGATTACAGGCAGGCTCCATCATGCCCACCTGTCTCCTTTTTATCGCTGCATATTTAAGTCATGTCCTGTTTGGGACTATTATGACTGACTTGCTATGAAATAACATTATTGTGCAGGCCTTTATGTAGATGTGTGTTTTCATTCCTCTGGAATATACACCAAAAAGTAGAATTTCAGATACTTACAAGAAGTGTATAAAAATGTGCCAAGCTGTTTTTCCATAGTAGCTATACAATTTTTTATTCTCATTTGCTGTGGAGAGTTCCATTTGTTCTGTAACCTTGGTGTTTTCAGTCTTTGTTGTTGTTGATTTTTTTTTTGTTTTGTTTTGTTTTTTGAGACAGCATTGCACTACGTAGTTGAGGCTGGCCTTGAATTCACTATGTAGCCAGACTGGCTAATTTTTTTTTCCATTCTAGGGATTGACCCTAAGGCCCTTGTATGCTAAGCACTCACACTACCACTGAGCTACCTCTCTAGTCTTCAGTCTTTTATGGCTGTTCTTGTGGGTACAGTAATATCTCACTTTGATTTTATTTAGTAGTTATCTAGTGACTCATGATAGTGAACCGATTTGCCTATGTTTAATGACCCTTTGTCTGTCTTGTTTGGTAAAGTTTGACTCTTCTGTTCTTCTAAGAAATTGGACTATCTTATCATTTTGTTGCAAGGGATTTTTACATATTCTGGATAAAATTAGATGTTTTGTAAGTATTTCTGCTGGTCTTTATCTTGCCTTTTTATTTTTTAAAATAGTATTTTGCAAAGAACAGAAATTAGAAAATTTGATAGAGTCCAAGTTAGCAATTTTTAGACTTATGGATAATGCTTTTTATGTTCTAAGAAATCTGATTAACCCAAGAAGAGAAATTTTACTTATTGTAGTTCTGTTTCTTAATACTTTTGTTAATATGCTATAAATTCATGCATACAAATGATATAACTTATGGTTTTTAGTGCATTTACAGAATTGCATATGTAGCACTATAATCAGTTTTAGAATATTTTCATCATATCAGACAAATGCCATTCTCTGTAGCCATCATCTCCAAAAGCTTCTATGCCCTGCAGCTGTAGGCAGCCACTAATCTACTTTCCTGTCCTATATGCTGGCATGTCCTATATAAATAGAATCATATAAGATTTTTTTTCCGACTGGCTTCTATCACTTAGCATAATATTTTCAAAGCATAATGTTTCAAAGCTTGTTTATGTTGTAGCATGTAGCAGCATTTTTATTTTATTACCAAATAACATTTCATTGTTTGGATATACCACTTTTTATTTATCCATTCTCCCAGTGAGATATTTAGAGTGTTTCCATTATTATGAAGAATGCTTTTGTGTACAAGTTTTTGTGTAGATGTATGTTTTCTTTTCTGTTAAGTATGTAACTTATGATTGGACTTGCTGTGTTTATGTAAACTTTTTTTTTTCTCTGCTTGTTTTGTTTTGTTTTATGACAAAGGATCTTACTATATATGTTCAGGATGACCTTCAACTCCCTGTGTAATTCATACTGGCCTCAGTTATAATCTTCTTGCCTCAGCCTTTTAAGTACTGGGATTATAGACATGTGCCACCACACTCCACTTTGTTAAAACTTTTTTTTTAAACTGGCAAGCCACTTTTTAAATATAGTTTTTTATTGGTACATTTTCTTTTCTTTTTTCTCTTTTTCTTTTTTATCAGTACCAGGGATCGAACTCACGACTGCCTGCTTGCAAGGCAGGTGCTTATGCCACTGAGCTAAATCCCCAGCCTACATTTTCGATATACATAATGATGACATTCATCATAGGGAATTAAAACCTGTAAATGATACATCTTTTTTCTCATTCCCCTCTTCTCTTTTTGTATAAACTTTTGACAAACTGCTCAGCAGTTTTCCAGAGTGATGTGTACTTATGTTTACATTTGTAATCCATTTTTAATTGATTTTTATGTATATTTCATAAGGGTCAAAGTTATTTTGTAAAACTTATATTCTTTGCTAGATGCATAATTTTAAAATCTTTAACACATGGTAACTGTACATATTTATGGGCTACAGAGTGACATTATAATACATGTATAAAACATGTAATGATCAGATCAAGGTAATTGGATGTCTTTGTCTTGTTTGTGATCTTAAAATAATCTCAGCTTTTACACTTTCAGTATAACGTAGCCTATGAATTACTTGGATGTAGCCCTTATTGTGTGTAAATTACATCCTTCTGTACCTAGGTGATTTTTTTTTGCTGTTGTTTTTTGTTTTTTTAACCTAAATTTTTGAGTGTTTGGTTTTTTATTTGAGTTTTATTTGTACAGGAGTAGTCCAGGCTGGTATTCAACTCATTATCCTCCCAAGTATTGGGACTGTAGTTCTGCACCACCATGCCCAGCTTGATTATGGAGGAATGTTGAATTTTAGTAGATGCTTTTTCTGCATCTGTTAATATACTCACACGATTTTGTTTCATTTTATTTTGCTTTTTGAGACAGGCTCTTGCTATGTAGTTTAGGCTGGCGTTGAATCACTAGAGCTGAACTCAGAGCAGTCCTCCTGCCTCTGCCTGCCAAGTGCTAGAATTGTGTGGACCACTTACACTTGGCTCATACGGTTTTTATCCTTCATTATATCGATGTGATACATTGTGCTTATTGATTTGTACATAGTGCACATATTATATTCCTGAGATGAATCCCATTTGATCATGTATAATCTTTTAATCATGTATAATCTTTTATATGTGTTTACTGGATTTGCTAATGTTTTGTTGAGAATTTTTGTATCTTTTTCATCAAAAATATTAGCTTATAGTTTTCTCTTTTTGTTGTATACTTGTCTTGGTATCATGGCAATGCTAACTTCATGAAGTGTGTTTGGAAAGAAGGTCCTTTCCTGATTTTAATACTTGGAGTAATTTTTTTTTTCTTCTGGTACTGGGAATTGGACCCCCAACCTTAAATGTACTAAACATGCGCTGTACCACTGAGCTGTGTCCCCAGCCCTGAAATAGTTTGAAAGAATTACCACTGGATTTCTTTAAAAGTTTGGTGAAATTCTGCAATGAAGTTGGTCTCATTAGATGTCTTTTCAGATTTTCTGTGTCCATAGGGTTCAATTCTGGTAGATTGTATGTGC